GCATCACGGCATCCTCATTCTTGTGCTCAGCAGCACTCTCCTGAACTTCTTCTTGGACCCCTCCCTTAGATTCGGGAGTTTTCTGATCCACCTCCATCTCAGGAGGTGGCGGAGGGGTCTTTGGAGGTGATTGAGGTGGTGGCCGGGGAACCCTCGGCAATCCATTGCCTTCATCGGGTTCCCTCATTTCAATTCCGATGGTCATCGGCCTCCGCTGAAAGTCATGCGGGCCGATGATGGCCATTCTTCGGCGCCTTTTCTGAAGCGGCTGCTCGTCCATGTCTGAGTCTGAAGACTCTTCTTGTATCTGGTCTTCGGGACGAACATGGGCTTTCCCTTCTCTGTGTCTGTTACTCTCTTCAGACTGTAAAAGACAGGGGGGAGGAAGAATGTGAGTACAAAAAAAAAAAAAAAAAAAAACAGACAAAGTTAAGTCTGAAAGCTCACCGAGGTCTTCAGCAAAGCCTCGTCTTCTTCAGCTGCCCTAGCTGCAGCTTCTTCTTCAGCAGCCCTGGAGGACCCTTCTCCTCCTTCACAAGCTTCAATAACCCGTGCAACCTCTTCGGCCGTACGGGCAGCTTCAGCTTCTTCGTCCAGCAGCTGAAAGCAGGGATCTCTCTTCTTCCACCAAGGCTTCTGCCTCTGATACAGAGCAACAGCCTCAATTTGGAAGTGGGAAGAGTCTAGATGAACTTCCCTATGCCTCGGTTCAGTGATAGAGGGGGCCCGATCAGTTACAACTCGTTCTCGGTTGACGCCAAGACGAGCGTAGTTAATGCCGACGTTGGTCTCGTCCCGCTCTGAAAAAGAAAAGAGGAAAGGTCAGTTCAGTTAGGTTGGCACAGCATAAAAAAGCGAAGTGAGAGGAGAAAAAGAGATAATTAAAAAGCCTCGGCCCCAGCCGAAGAAGCTTACCATCCTTAAACTTTCGGCTGAGGCCGACAGCTGCTAGCATGTTCTCTTGGAAAACATAATGCGTATCGGGGAGCCAAGTCTCCGGGATATGCTGCATTCGGCCGCTGCCCCCCCGGTTCGGCAGCTTGCCGAAGATATTTTTTTGATTAAGGTTTGGATCTGAGCCGTTATCTGCGGGGGGACCTAAGCTTCCCATGTCGGGATCAGGCTCAGCAAGGTACCGGGGAGCGCTGAAGACGCAAGGGTGGCCCGGGTCCGTGGGTGCCCTAACCCAAATCCATTGACCTCTCCAGTCCTTGTCTGAAGAGTCGTTCGGCCACATGGTTAGGTACTAGGGCCGAGACTCAATCCGGTACCACCCAGAACCATGACTTCCGTGCCCACTTTGAATATTTGGCACTAGCCGATGAAGCTTTTTGAAGCAGTGCAGGTTCGGCACATACTTGAAGAACTTGCAGACCCATAAGTATGTCATCACCCTTCGGATGCTAGTAGGAGTTAACTGACATAGGGAAATATTGTAATGGATCAGCAAGTCTCGGACGAATACGTCCAAAGGGAACCTCAGCCCATACTGAAGTTGTCTTGTGTACACCCCCACATACCCCGGGGGTGGACGATGGATTCTATCGGATGTCACGGGCATTCGGCACCAATACCCATCAGCTTCAAGGATGCCGTAATGCAACTCAATTTGTTCGGCAAACCGATATTGTTCGGCATTCTCCACCCACCATGAGTAGGGGCGGTTCTTTATCATGGCCGAAGCTACTTCGGCATCCTCCCACTCTGAAAACCCGGGGAGGATATCCCAAAGGACAGCGGGAACTTCATCGTCCCGCCCAGAAGCGCTCGGCCCCTCCGTTCTCTGAGGAGGAGCCGAGGAAATTGGAGTCGCCCTAATCCCTTCAGCAGGGTCAGACTCTGCTCTTCGTCCATTCCAGGTCCCAATCCTGTTCCTGGGATTGGGAATTGGCCTTGCTCTTCTTGGAGCACGGGCTCTACCCCTAACTCCTCTTGCCATTGATAATTTCGAAGAAAAAATTCGAAAAAAAAGGGAAGGAGTTCGAATTCGAAGAAAAATAAACTAAAATCAAAGGAATTTACCTTAATCTGAAGTGAAAGTTGCCGATTTACGAGTTCGTAGTGGCAAGTCTCAGTTTCTAAGCTTAATGCTCGGGGAATTTGCGAAGTTTTGATGCGGGTTCTTGGGTTCTCTCGAGAATTCTGGGTTTGTGTTGGTGAATAAGTGAGGAGAGATGACGCGCCTCTGATTATATCTCCAGAAATGGGAATACGGGGAGTTCGCGTTTCAATTTCTCTTAAATACCCCACTAAGTAACCGTTAAACACACGACCTTGCGATTAAACTGCCCATTATCCGTCCAACTTCCACAATCATCCGCCTTAACCGTTGTTATCTCATTAATTACGGTTTAAATTCAAATTTTTGGATTAATTAAATCATTCACTTCCCTCCTTTTCTGAATTAAATCAAACTCGACCCGTCATCCTTCCAAATCGGGTCTGGGGGGCAAGTTGTTTGGGTCCAATTTAGTCCAATTGGGCTTAGGCATTAAATGATCCAATTAAAAGCCCAAGGTCAAGGTTCATCTCTCCAATTGTGCTAAAGTCAAAGATCAGTCCTCAAGGCAAGCCAATTGGGCTAAGGCCCAACTTCTCCATGTATGAAGAGGTATAAAAGCCATCAATATCACATTTTTACATTCATTCAAGCAAAGCCTCAAGCAACTAATTCTCTTGCATAGTGTTCTCTTTCTACACACTGTACTGACTTTAGTATCGGAGGGGCCTTCCTCGGCAACACCCCCGAGGCTAGTTTACGTGTGTTTACTGTGCAGGAAACCTTCGGCCCAACATTTCTTGGATCGAATCTAGTCTTCACCACTTCATCGGACCTTCGGCAAGGTCCCATTGTTTTCACCCGAAACATACTTAATTGTAGGACTAAGCATTAAATAATTCTGCTTGCGTGGAAAAAGAGGTGTTAGATGATGACTACAATGATAATAGTACAAATTGTCCTTACCATGTACTTGGAGACTTTTGACATTTAGGGTCACCGTGGTGGATATTCGTTGGTAGTTTTGGTAAAACTTGAGAAGAAATGCCAAGTGATTAGTCTAAATCACCAAGTATTAATTGACTAGTCTTCCTTCCTTTTTTTTAATTAATAATAATTGTATGTTCTTTGACCATTTTATCTTTTATATTCGATTCGTTATTTTATAAAATTTGAACAAGTATGTTGAGATCTAATAAATACTTCTTCACTCTTTTAAGTAGCTTTGACCAAGTTTTTGAAAGCTTTAGAAACGAAAACATAACAAAATAATAAGGTGGCGTTTAGTTCGCACAGGGTAAACGGAATGGAATGAACAAAGGAAAAGAAAGAGAATGAAATGAAAATACCTCAAATTTAGTATGTTGTTTGTTTTAAGAAAAACAAAGAGAATCAAACCGCCCATCAACCCACTACATCACCACCACACACAACATATCTCCTTCACTTTCCACGTTTTCCAGCCACCACCTAGCCGCACCACCATTCGCCACGCTTCCCCCACCAGTCGGCGCGCTTTGCCGCCCCTTCTCCCCCCCCCCCAAACATCTCGCCTCCTTTGGAAAACTTCACCCAAAAACCCTAGAAACCCCTTCTTCCTCCCCATATACCATCGTGCGACCCTCCCTCCACCGTGGAAACCCTAGCGACTAGGGATTCAAGGGTGGGGGAGGGTCAGAGAACGGTTTTACAGGGAGAAAGAAGGGGTTTTACGGGGTGAGAGAAGGGGGTTTTACAGGGAGATTGAAGGTGGTTTTCGAGGTTGGTGAAGTTTTCCGAGGGAAAGGAGAGGCAACGAGGGCGGGGGAGAGGCGGCGAAGCGCGCCGAGTGGTGGGGGAAGTGCGATGGCTTGGTTTACCGATGGTGTGGGTAGCTTAGGGTGGTTGTATGGTGGTGATGTGGTTGCTAGGGAATGGGAATGGAAATGGAAATACCTAGAGGGGTTGGGAATCAACTTAGAAGGATTTAGGGGAATGGATGGGGAGGGTAAAGGAAATTGGAAAAAATGCCTAACAAACAACAACAAAGGAAATCAGTACATTTGATTCCCTTTCCCTTTGATGATTAACCCCAACCAAACGGCCCCTAAAAGTTTTAAGAAATAGAAACAACTTTCTTAGACCCCCTAACATAACTTTTAGAGGGTGTACGTAGGTACTTAATATGAGTTTTATAACCTAATACTTCTATTTCTTGAAAACATACACTTCTAATTTATGAAGATCTACTTCCATGAAGTAGATTTTATTTTTCCAGAAATGTAACTTGGCCCAACAAAACCCTTAATTAGTGTTAGGGCGGCCTATTTTCTTATTAACTGAACTGAACTTATTAGAGCTAAACTGAACTGAACTAAACTTATTAGAGCTGAACTGAACTGAAAATAATCGCATGAGAAGAGGCCTTTAATATATTAATATCATATGCTTGTTCACTGTTTAATTTTAATATAATACCTATATGGTAGAAAAAAAAATTTATCAAATTTCATAAGACAACCATAAGAGTAAAATCTGATTAGATTATTTTGTATCAATACATGTGATCGCTTCTTTAAAAAAAGTGGTGGCATGGATTGGAGGATCAAATGTAGAAGTTATATTAATTGTGATCGATTAATTTATTAAAGTTATACTTGTATAACTTGTCCTTGAAATTATTCACTTTTTTCAAATCTCCAACTTATTAGGTAATGATTATGTGATTTAGTTTGGGGTTAATTAAGAAAAGAGCATACTAATATGTGGGGAGGGATTATATTAAAATAAAAGATTTAGTTACAATCATATATGGTTCATGTTTATGCATTAAAAAAATGATTTATGTTTGGTTTGTTTCTTCTAAATGTAGTTTGCATAGGGTATCATTTGTGGTGTAAGTTTTGCGCGGTTTGGTTAAAGTTTACAAGGGTAGCTTAGCTAATGTGACTATCTATATAATTGGAGTGACATTCAAATTAGTAGTCTTCATTAATCATAGAAAGTAAGTGTATGTTGTCCAAAATGTATGATTAATTGTCATAATTAGTAATGTGATACATTGATAATTAGTCGTAATTAATATGATAAGATAAGAACGTATATAATCCTATGATATTAACTTTTGCGAATATGATAGTCTTCAAGCATACACTCATATGAAGTAGTGCGAAATTTTAAGACTTGGAGTAAAATGGTAGGAACTCTAGGAAGTAAAAAAAAAAAAAAAAACAACTACAAGGGTAGGGGTGGGGGGGACAGTTGCAAAGTACGGTTCCCTCCACATCTAAAATCCGAACCAAATTCCCTCCTTCCCTCCCTCCCTCCCTCCCTCCCTCCCTAGTCCCTTGGTATTCAGCAGCTATTCTCACCAGCAAAAGCCCAAGTAATTGAACCCCCAATTTCAATTCCAATTTCAACGCCAACTCCAACGCCGCCTTGGATGGCGACTCGCAAGGCAGTTCCTGAGAAGAGAGAGGTTGTTTTATTGGCGCGGATGAAGCCGCCTTTTGCTGATTCACCTGGCGATTACTACTCCTTTTCCGATCGTCTTCTTCCTCCTCCCGATGCCATCGTCGTCAACACTCCTGTTTGTACCCTTTCCCTTCATTTCACTGCTCTTTTTCTTTTATTCTTCCTCATTACTACTATTCAATTGGGGATCTTTTCTTTCCCTACCGTTTTTCATTTTTTCTGCTTATTTTACCACTTCTCTTTTTAATTTGCCTTTTTCCCACTACTGTTTTTCGATTCTAATTTTTCCTACAATTTGGCGGTGCAATTTTTTTTCTTTTAAAATATTATTAATTTTGATTGGTTTTCTTATCTAAAAACTCCAATTGAGTACTACATTATATAATTGGATTGTTGATTTAGTATATACACAACTAATTGTATTGCTTCCAATTACTTAATTTTTACTACCCTGCTAATGTGAATTCAGTTTGTTTAATGGTAAAATTGACCTGCTTCATGCTTGATTTTGATCATCTTAGCCCCAGATATTAGTTGCTTCTTCTATCTTAACTCGCAAATCAACTGCTGTTTGCGGTATATAACCATTTGCATCTTCACAATGTTGTTCAATGTGTCATCTTTAAGTTCAATATTGTAACCATGAAGACGACGAACGTGACTTAACCATTATCAGTTGATCATATAAGTAGTAAGAAAGCATTTGCCTGGATATATTGCTTTGTAATTCAGCATTCAGCTCTCTCTTGATGTCATATACACTACATTGTGTTGCATTTACCAAAATCAGTCTTTAGTATTATTTTTGCAATGTGCACATTTCCATTCCTTGTAGCCTATTCCATCTGTAAATCTGTAATCAGCATTAGATTAATGTTTGTATTGTGTCCATATTTTTCTTAAGTATGGAAGTAGCAACAAATATCCGTTTAAAGTGGGTTACTTTAGAATTGCCTCTTGCACATTATTAAATACTTTTAAGTGTTTCACGATTTTTTGCATTGCAGAAGATACAACTCAATATTGGGTTAAAACTTTTTTAGAATTACATTGTAATACTCCTGCTATAATCTGCTAATTTTTAAGTGCTTGATATGGTGTCAATCAGCCAAAGAAGCGTAAGAATAAACTAGCTGATCACAACACTGAGTCTACTTCCAGAACAACCACTCAAGGGCTTAGAGAAGTCCTTAGCAGCCCTTTTCAGACACCTGTCTCTGGTAAGTGCGGAAATGGACAACAAGCTTCAAGGAATACCCCATGCGACATAGACCATCCTCAGACTCCCATGCCAATGATTGGTGAGCATTCAAATGACGACTTATATTGCAATATATGTATCAGATCAAAGTTTGGTTTACTTTTGTGGATTAGAAGTTTGGAGACGATTCATCAGTATGTTTTATGTAAGCTGACGTCTGCTTGCAGGTTCACCAGGCGAAAACCTTACTCCAGGCGGTCCTTGTCGCTCTGGTCGCTCTCTTGGTACCAACCTACAGCATAATTTAATATTAAATTGTTTATACCAAGCATATTTAATGTCCAACTTGAACTGTAGTCCGTTTTAGAACTTTGATTTTGAATAAATCAATTGATGATATCATTTTCATGTTTTCTCAGTACTATTAACAAAAAAGTTCATTAATTTGATTGAACAAGCTGAAGATGGGATACTTGATTTAAAGAAAACTGCTCAAACTTTAGAGGTAATGTTTGCAACTTGCTCTTGGTTTTTTTTTAACTCTCAGGAGCAGCTTTTTAAATCTTTTTTGTGAGTTTCAGGTCCAGAATAGGCAAAAAAGGCGGATTTATGATATAACTAATGTTCTTGAGGGCATCGGTCTCATAGAAAAACTGAAGAATGGAATACAATGGAAGTATGCATAACTTACAGAATCAAATCACTAATATATATTTGCCTTTTCCTCTTGTTTATGATTCTTTATTGAATGAACTCAACCAATATAATTTGTATATAATGAAGAATTTTGATCATTTAATCAGGGGACCTAGTGTTTCAAGGCCAGGTGAGGTTAGCAATGGTGTTGCTAGTCTACAGGTATGGCAACTTAAATGATACATTTACACAATTTTTATTTTGTTGCTTCATTCCTCTATACGGATGTGTGGTCAATTTTTTATGTTAGTCTTGTGCAAACTTTTTCCCCACTATGCAGGCAGATATAGAAAATCTCTCTATGGAAGAGCGCAAATTAGATGAACGGATAAGGTTAATTGTTTCCCAAATCTGCTTTTTTTTTCTTCGTCATTTAGCTATACTCTTTCAAATTAGCACTGAGTCTCTAAACTATTGCAGAGAAATCCAAGAAAGACTGAGGGACATTACTGAAGATACAAATAATCAAAAGTAGGCTCCCCTTGTTTCGCCACCCCCGTGGTTTCCTCCCCAATTTTTTCCTTCATTCAATCAAAGATTGTTATCTTTGGATGCTTATAATTTTTTTTAAAATCTTTCAGATGGCTGTTTGTAAGTGAAGAGGATATGAAGGCCTTACCTTGTTTTCAGGTGTGGTTTTTGGTTTGTCCTGTCACTCACACATCAACTTCCTCCAAGTATCTTCACAGCTGTGCTTCTTATTATACTGAACAATAATGCTTGCTGATGTTGTAACTTGTGTTTTGTGGTTACAACAGGATGAAACCTTGATAGCAATTAAAGCTCCACATGGTACAACTTTGGAAGTCCCAGAACCAGATGAGGTTTGTTCATATGATTGTAAATACAATATGTTTGTCAAGTAATGCTTCTGATATATGTCTGAGGGTACTTGCTTCCTCTGCATTTTGTTTATCAGGGTGTTGATCATCCTCAAAGAAAATACAGAATAGTTCTAAGGAGTACTATGGGTCCTATTGATGTTTATCTTGTCAGGTACCATTTCCTCCTGATTTTCTTGGCCTTTGTTGCTTCATTGCTATTTTTCATTGTCTTTAATAAAAAACTTTTATGGTCAACTTTTAGAAACTTTGACTGTAAAAACTCACATTATAAACATTAAACCTATAGTATGTGAGGTCTTGTAAGATTTGGCTTGAAATATATTTTCAAAATATCAATTTTATGTCTTATGAAATATATATGTGGTCTGTATTAAAGACCATACAATTTAAAGCGTAGAAGATTAAAAGCAGTGGAGGGAATTGCTATATTTCAGCATACAATTCATGCAACTAACTTACTTAAGTATAGAGTAGAGCTCCTGTTATCTTCTTTGTCACTTCATATTATTTATAATTTTGCCATTGTGATCACTTTGCATGCAAAATAAGAGATATTACAAGTAAAAGACAGTCAGCTAGTGGCTTCTAAGGTTTACTTTGAGAGGAATGCAAAGTGAGGTCTCTGCTTTTTGTTTCATCTTGGCCTTCTCTCCACTCCTCTTTCCATGTTTGTTTTCTTCTGTCTTCTGTGACCTAAATGCAATCTCAACAACTTTGAAATAGTTTGCTTTTTTTTTTTTTTTTTTTTTTTTTCCTCTCTTTTGCCTATCTTCAGTCAATTTGAGGAGAAGGTCGAGGAGACCAATGGTGCAGAGACACTACAAAGCCTACCAAGTACCTCAGGTTGTAATGATCTTTCAAATGCCATGGCAGAGAACGAAAACAGTGGCAATCAGATAGAATTGCATGGACAAGATGCCCACAGGATGAGCTCAGATGGCAGTGTCCCTCAGGACTTAAGTGGAATCATGAAGATCGTACCTGAAGTTTATGTAGGTTTAAACTTCAAGCTTATTGATTGTCAATTAAAGTTAGTTTTATATATTATACAGTATATTTTTGAAGATATACTTGTATTTTCTTAAATTTACTTTTGCATAGGCTGGATATTAGATTATTAGCTAATAATATAATCCTTGTCGTTTGGTCACAGAATGATGCAGATTACTGGTTGCTATCAGATGCTGACGTTAGCATCAGTGACATGTGGGGAGCAGAATGTATCCTTCAAAATTTTATCACCTCAGTGAAATCTAGCTATTAATCTCTGATTTCTGAACCCCCTCCCCCTCCCTGGTCCCCGAATAAAGAATATAGTCGTATAAAAGCCAGAATCCTAACAGAAAAAAGTGGCTTGAAAATGAAAAGTACTCTCTTGCTCTTCATTTGGTGTCACCAGGTTTATTAGAATCTTGCAGCTGGATTCCTTGACCTAACATAGCTGGAGTTGATTGGGATGAATTGGGGATTGTTCCTGAAGATTATGCTGTGGAGGATAACAGCACTCAGCAGCAGCCACAAAGCCTACTATCATTATTAACCAGTGCAACGGGAGTGCCTCCTGCTATTGCGGACTCAACCGGGAGATAAGACTGGGTTTAGAGATGCAAGCTCTCTTGGGTATTCACTTAAAACTTTGATCATATATTGCTTAATCCCAACCAAGCTACCTATCAATCTCTGAAGAGTCATGGCATGGGATGTTGGGATGAATATTAAGTATTTTCCGAGATTTTGGATAGACCCTCCTTCATTTGACAGTTGGTGAAGTGAGATGATTGAAGGATTGTAATTGTTCTTCAGCTGTGGCCAGTGTAGATGATTACTGTAACAACAAATAAAGAACGGTCAGTGTCTTCAGCTGCTGTCATTATGTAGTTGTTGGAACTTTGAGTAAGCTGCAAAATATGCTCAACCATTGACTATTAGCAATGGAGATGTAGATTATAATTACTGGATGATACTAATTTAGGATTAGAGATGAAACTAGGAACTCTGTGTGATCTGAAGAAGTAAACAAGTGCTTCAATGAAGTTGACTTTATAAATTGCTTCATCTTTTAGATTATGCAGGTCAGTCAACAGGGAAGAAAGAGATCAGGCCTCATAAGTCATAACATGAATATGCTTCTTAAAAACTCTTTTTTTATTTGAATTGGGTTTTTTCTCTAAGCCCACTCTTTGTAATGGGCTATGAAATGATTGATCGGAGAGATAGAAGCCCAAGCCCAATGCATATTTACTAATTTTTTTTTAAAAAAAAAATATGTAACTAACTAGTGACTACCAAATAGGCAAATTTGCCAGATATCCTAAATTGGCACCGAATGTTTGTTAGTTGCTACGGTGTTGTTAGGAGAGGGAGTGCACGTTAATTGGACTAGAAGGCTTTTTTTTCCAAAAAAAAATAAAAAATAAAAAATAAAAAAATAATTTACACCAATTAGTCAGTTACTCTTTAGCCCTTATTAGAGGTATCAAAAACTCAAAGCTACACCCGATTTGAAAAACATCCTATTTAGATTTGGATTCGCGTAGACTTAGTAATTTAGTATGACCAATGTCATTAAAAATCGCGATTCATATCGTAGAATCGTACGATTCTACGATCCTAATCCACCTAAACGATGTTAATCGCTGGTAGAATCATTATGTTGTAGAATCGCTCATAGAATCGGTGAAATAGATACTGATTCTATGATTCTATACCAATTCTACTCCTGCAAAAAACCTGATTTTTCGAAACCCATAACTTTTGATTTCGAAGTCGGAATTATGCTTATAATATGTCATTGGAAAGCTCTTGAAATCTACTTTTTAATAGAATTAGTTTCGTACCTGTATCATTTATATATTTTATGTTATAGACTAAAGAGTGTAAGGGTGTCATAGCTGAACCTAACTTTAGTTGATCAGATCGGGTTAGATCTATTCATTGATAAAAAAAAAAAGGGGTGAACGGTGGTGAAGTAGTGAACCATCAATTATTGGTAAGCCGGAGACGAAAATTTTGTAAGGGGATTGGAGCAAGCTACCATACGAACCAAGGCTCTACTGCTTACTTGTCTTCTTTCCTGAGCGCAGTTGGGCCATCCTAGACTTGAATTAGAGACCTCGCCTTATCGCTGCTGTCTTTTTTGCAGCTTTTGTTGTTGCAGGAACAACAGTCAATGTTATTTTCCCCAATATTGGTGCGAATAGATTGGTTGTTTCTTGACGAGCTCTTTCAAAAGAGCATAAACTGAAACATTCCAGAGAGTTATTAAATCATACTTGTTTGTAGACAAAGCAGATTCACATTCTTAAACCGATAACCATCTTTCGGCTAACCTTTGGCTCCTCCGTCCCTCGAGTTAGCACAAGTAGATTTCTACAAAATGCTTGCTGTGATATTTTTACCCCCTCCCTTTGTTATAGAAGAGCAATGGCAGTAATTTTCTATTTATTTTAATCCAAACAAGCCCTTAATTATCGAAAATAGTTTCATTACTGTATAAATTGTTTCTATACTCCACCTTAATTGATGGAATCTCTCTCTTTGGCACAAGGAATTGAGATAAAAGAAAATAAATAGATTTGTAACTCTTGACTGAGTAACCCTTGACCGACCGAGTATTCTCTGACCAAGTAACTCCAGCCACATGATATAATCAGCCACATATGAAACTTTTGTGATGAAAATAATATTGTTTTGATTAAAAACTCCCTCCGTTCCTTTATTTTTGCCCCATTATTATTTTTTTAGTTAAATTTTGAAAACTTTGACCATATATTACCGTTAATCTATAAAAGCTAATATAGTCCGGAATAATCTTGTTAGATTTGTCTCATTGTAATATCACATTTTTATAATTTTTACGTGTATAGAAATAAAGAGATAGACGAATTAAAACACGTATTAAAAGCCGTGCACAATCATATGGGGCAAAAAAATATGGACATAAGCAGAAATTTTAACACATTTCTTCAAAAAAAAAAAAAAAAGAAATTTTACAACACATGTAGAAGTGCAGAACCATCTCCAGGCTCCATATGCGAGCCAGCCAAACAGAAAAATAAACAAGGGAGAGAATGAACAAGGCCCAAAATTAAAATAAACCAAAAAAGGGGGGAAAAGAAGGTAGTAGGCGAAACTAAAAAAAAAAAAAAAAAAAAAAAAAAAAAGAAAAGAGGGGAGTCTTGAAGTATTAGGGGGAAACGGAAAAGGGAAGTGGCTTCCCTCCACATCTATATCCGAACCAAATTCCCTCCTTCACTCCCTTCCCTCGTTTTCTCTCTCTTTCTCTCTTTCCTCCCTTTTTCCCACCACCACTTCCTCCGCCCTCCTCCCGCCGTTCAGATCTCTTCTTCCTTCCCTCCGATCGAACCACCTTCCTATCTCACTTTTATCCTCTCTATATTTCATTAATTCTATAGCAAATTAAAACCCTCGCAATTCCCTCTTTCCCCCCCCCTAAAAACCCTGAGCTTGAAGCTTCGATCGCTGCGAAATAGTTGCGATGTCGACGCCTAAAGCTACCATTACCAACCACCAATCTCAGCAGCAGCAACAGCAGCCGCAGCCTCTTAAGCGACAGCTTCCCTTTACATCGATGAAGCCGCCGTTTGTTCCACCGCCTGGTGACTACCACCGTTTCTCCGACAATCGTGCTCCTCTTCCTCCCGACACCGAAACTATTGTCGTCAAGACTCCTGTTAGTCTCTTTCCTCTATTTTTTTTTCACTTTTATTTTCCCCCCTTTTTTTTCTTTAATTTGTTTTTACATGGGTTTTTCGAATGCTATTTTTGGAACAATTGACTTGGGGATCTTGCTTCTGTTTTCATATTCAAAACTAATTTGGTACCTAATTGTTTTTGGCAAGTAGATTTGTTTCTGACTCTTTCTCAATTGAACTAAGGGTTTCGTCTTAATTTACTTGTTCTGATGTTGTTTCAAAGTCCTGCACTTAGTATGCGTTTGATGGAGTATCGGCTGCGTGCCAACTTAGGGTTGGCTGTATCTCTGCTAATACCACAATTTTGTTTCCTCTTTAAAATGCAAATGACTTGTTGCTTGCTTCCTATTTCGCACTCAACTACAAAATTGATGTTTTAAACACTAGTGGTATGTTCTCATACTTGCTGAACGAATACATTTTGAAGATAAGTAACAATGATGCTAGTATTTGCAACCTAAATTAAGAATTAAGCCTTTGTATAGCTATATACACTTTTCAAATTTTCAGCTAACAGTTGGGGGCAGTATCACTGTACTAGTGCCTAGTTATAATTTTGTTGTTAGATACATTCATTGTTATGGATATTCATTTCAAACTCATGACATTAAAGTCATCGATGTGATGAGATGCGTGACTGGAAGAAGAAGCATGCCTTAATTTGATTGCTGCAACTTCTGCTCTATCATCCTTTTAGCATCTTCACTATGAAAGCGCTAGAATTTCGTTTGACTTTGCAGTTTTTATAAAAGCTTAGTCTTTCTGGCTCCCAACCTAAATTATGCGACTATAGGTAAAATCACCACTGACAATTTTTGCATCCTGATATTGATGTTTAGCTTTTATTTGTTATTTGTCAAGTTCTTGGTTATATTTGAAACTTCTGGGATTGTTTTTACCAGGATTTATTGTTTTTTTTTTTTTTTTTTTTTTTCAGTCAGGAAGAGTGTATTTTTTTCATTATTATTAATGGTAGAGCAGTAAGGGAATTCTATTGTGTTTTGGGCTGTGTACCAGTAGCCTTTGGAAGAGGGGGAGGGGTTAGGTGATCCAGGCTACTATGGTGCTAAGTACTCCCTCAATTTTCTTGATATTTCATGTGCAACACATTCATAATGATAAGCATCAATACTTGAATCTGGGACACTAAATCAAATGCTTTTGTCCTCAGCTTTCTAGTGGATTGTCTTGTGAGATGTAATATTGTAATATGTCTTTAGTTTTGCATTACTCCCTTTCCCATAGCATATTATTGTAATATGCCAACTTTTGGCTTATACTATGTTGGTGGCTTTCAGCCAATGAAGCGGAAGAGTGATGCAGCTGAATATGATGCCGAGTCTAGTGACTGGACGACCAGTCCGGGATACACTGAAGTAATTAGTAGCCCTCTCCAGACACCTGTATCTGGAAAGGCTGGCAAGGGACGAGGATCAAGGATTAGCAAGTGCAATAGAGCTGGGCCTCAGACTCCCATGTCAAATATTGGTCAGTATTGAAGTTGAAGTCCTTATGTATGGTAGTTTATACTGTTCAAGGGGGGTCAACCTGATATGATTTGGCAATACATATTAGTATGGTGGAGCTCTGCTCCAAAAGAAATTATGTGATTATGATTTTCATAGACTAATTATAATGGCCTGATGTAGTTACGGTGTCGCATTATAACATGATGTTCAACTCCTGAATAAATTACAAGTATCTTCTTTATTGACTATTTTTCAAGCTGGGATAGTGTAGTCACTATCCCTTACAGTAGTTGACAACATCAACTTTGCAGGTTCCCCAGGCAACAATTTAACTCCAGTTGGTCCTTGCCGCTACGATAGCTCACTTGGTAATTAACTTGACACTGATCTCATTTTATCAATAATTCAGCTTTCAGCAGAGTTATTTTCCTGGCTTGGCTTTGCTGCATATCATCTTGCTTTAGAGACGTGACTGATGATAACGTTTTACTTTCCCTGTTCCAGGACTTTTGACGAAGAAGTTCATCAATTTAATCAAGCACGCAGAAGATGGTATTCTTGATTTAAACAAAGCTGCTGATACTTTAGAGGTGATTTTTTGTGGCATTGCTTTGCTTCCACTTGGTTCTTGCTTTGCTCTTCCTGAAGTGATCTGTTATTTACTTGTGTATGCTTCAGGTTCAAAAGAGGCGTATCTATGATATTACCAATGTTCTAGAGGGCATTGGTCTCATTGAAAAGAAGCTGAAGAATAGGATACAATGGAAGTATGTATGACTTGACATATGTTTGTGCGTGTTATATATATATATGTACATATGTATATATATACCTATATACATATACATATGTATATATATACCTATATACATATACATATGTA